TCTAAAAACCCGTCTGATCAGGACCCCTGTTTACCTTTCTCCATTTCATCCTTACAATAACCCTGTGAGGTAGGTGTGTCTTAGTGACCAGCCCAAGGTCACTTCATGGAACACTTCTCAGCAGATTTTCTGGGATCTCAGGCACAGAGGAGCCTCTTCTGACTCTTGCTAACTTCAGCGGGTGAAGCCGGGGACAACTTCCTTTGAGCCATAGCGTCTCCCTAAGAGGGGAGCTGCAAAGGATTCTGGGGATGTGTTTTAAGGGGCTGTTGACACATATTTCCTTTTTCATGTTGGAGCTCCTCAACTGCCTGTCTGGGATTCAGAGGATCTGGGTAGGGTTCCCTTCTGTCAGCTGCTGGAACTGTGTGTGAGTACAGGAAAGGCTGGGTCATGGTCATGGAGGGAAGAAAGCAGCAGGAGCCGCCATTAGGGTTGTCTACAGCTTGGAGGGGAGGGAAAGGTCCTGCCCTTTTAATAGAGGCTTAATGGGATGTTATTTACCAGGTTATTTACCTCCATGCCATGAAAACCTTCAGGTGCTCATTTGTACACATTAAACATCTATTTTTAAAATCCAAGTTCTTTGCAACCCTAGTGGCTGCTGTCCCATGTCAGCCTGTTCTCTTCAGCAGAAAGGGCCTTTGTTTTGAAGCAGGAGTTGGCCAGTCAGGGAAAATCCACTACTGCTAGAGTGAGGGACTGGGGCTTTTAGTATTTTGTAAACAGGCTGGTTGGTTTGGAGAAGCAGAAGAAATTGTTCCTCCTTCTTAAGAACATAAGGAGAGCCCTGCTGGATCAGACCAATGGTCCATCTAGTCCAGCATCCTATCTCACACCGTGGCCAACCAGTTCCTCTGGAGGGCCAATAACAGGGCATGGAGGCCAAGATCTATTCTGCTATGCTCTGAAAACACTATTCCCCTTTTCATCTTTTCATGGGGGGAGGGTGCGCTTGTAGTCTCCCCTGTCCCTTCTGAATTCCATATGGGCAGATGAGGCCTGTCATGTGAGCATTTTTCTTCATTTTATTCATACATTTCTGGATGATTTATCTTGACCTTCCTTCAAGGGGCTCAGAGTTGCATACATGGTTTTCCCCTTCCCCTTGTCATCCCCAAGCTAATTTGTGAGGTAGGTAGGGCAAGAGAGGGAAACCAGCTTATGGTCATGCAGTAAGTTCCATGCCTGAGTGGGGATTTGAACCATGGTCCTAGTCCAGCATTCTAAATCACATTGATTTGCTAGGGTTGCCAGCTCTGGACTGGGAAATACCTGGAGATTTTGGGGGTGGACCCTGAGGAAGGTGGGGTTTGGGATAGATGGTGCCTCATCAGGGCATAGTGCCATAGAGTCTACCCTCCAAAGCAGCCCTCTTCTCCAGGGGAACATCTCTGTCATCTGGAGATCAGTTATAATTCCAGGAGATCTCCACTCCCCCCCCTCCAAAGCAGACATTATCTCCAGGGGAACGGGCCTCCGTTGTATGGAGATCAACTGTAAAAGCTGGAGATTTCCGGGACCCACCTGAAGGTTGGCAACCCTATGCTGTTGTAAGGACTGCTTCCCTGCACACTCCTCACTAAAAAGACAACCAGACGATCCAAGCTTCCATTTGCATGGGATGCCAGTCAGATCTGGGAAATGTAGAGATAGGCTCAGCAACAAAGACAACCCTGACCTCATCCCCAGAATAGTAATTCACACCATGCAGGATCTTAAGGGGAAATTCTCCTTTGGCTAATTCTTTAAAGACCCACAAAACAGCCCACTTGAGTCTAACCCTTCCCCAAGTTCTGCATGCTGTTTGGGGGTAAGCTCTCAAATTCTGCAAGGCTTTCCAAGGAGTCGATAGGAGAAGGATTTTGGCTGGTATTTTGCTGTGTGTGACTGTTTTAACAAAACAGCAGCCTAAAATAGATACAGGCAAGTCTTCAGAGTCTCACCAACATCTGGCAGGGGCAGGTGGCAAAGGAAAGCTAATGAGCACATGCACAGCTTGACTCCTAGACATGCTCAACCCTCGTTTCTATCTAAAGCACATCTCTCACAATGCGTCACCCAGCGGAGCTTCATGGAGGCTCTGCAGTAGCTGCCAGCCTGCCACTGAGGGGACGAGCACGTGGATTTCAGCCAGATAATTTCTTGCAAGTGGGAAGCACTCTTGATTGGCTAGTCTGAGGGCCAGTTTGTTCTGGCACAAGCTGAGCAGATAGATGCCTTCATGGCTGCATAAACTGACTCTTAGGCTGGAACTGTGTGGCTAGCAACTGACCCTGCTGTTTGCCAAACACCTGCAGTGTGTGGCAGAAGGCGAGGAACCAAGCTGTAGTACAGAAGTGGCAGCTGAAGGTGAGGAATGCTTAATGCCTTTGCCTGCCTGCCAATGGCCTGCTGCAGTCCTCTGTCCCAAGCAGCTTTTTTCCATGAAGTGGCAACAACATCTCTGTTGTAAGCCGCCCTGAGCCCTGCTCACAGGGGAGGGCGGCCTAGAAATTTAATAAATAAGTTAAACAAAATCCTGGTTGTGGGGTAAGGGAAGAGTTAAGTACCCACCTCACTTACTGTAAATTTCCTCTTGCATTGTCTGATGTTTTGCATTAGATTGGCAGAGATGTGGGTTTCGATTCCTGGTCTGCCCCAGAAAATGTTTTTCCCAGTGGGCCAGATAGTGCCGTTAGTGGGATCAAGCTCAAGGCTGGCCATAGTTTTAAGAGAGTTGATTCCAACACAGGGTGGCTTGGAGGGGACTGTGCCAGGCCCGTAGCTAGCGTGGGGCCCACGGGGCCTGCCCCCCTAGCAGTTTTTATGGGGCCCCTTCCTGAGCCTCAGCTCCCTTACCCCAACTCCCCCTGACTGCCTATCAGCCTGTTGGCAAGGGAGGACAAGGGCAGTGATTCCAGAGGCTGCCCCTGGTGCTGTGCCGTGGGAAGAGGCACAGGGCTCCTTGGGGAGGGAGGGAGCTGGACCCGGATACTCCACAGAAAAGACCTGCCCTTGCGGGAGGGGAGGGGGGAGAGGGAGGGAAGCTGTAGCCACTGCAGCCCTTGCCCTGGAGCCTTTGATTGGATTAGCAGGTGGCCCCCCCAGGCCCCCTCCCTAAAAAGTCCTTCGCTACGGGGCTGGACTGTGCCCCCTGCCTTTTGCACTGGCTCCCTTTGCATCTGGTTTAGAAAGAAGGGCCCCCAGTTAGCAAGACTCAGAGGGTGGTGCTTGTGGATTTCATTAAGGCCTCTTTGCCATAATTCAAACCATGGCTGATGTATTTATTTTTTTAGCTTATTTAGCATTTATTTATTTTTGTACTTATTTTTTCAGCTTATTTAGCTGGAAGAATGAATCTCACTTGTTATAATCCCTACAGGGGCTGAGTTGTAAAATCAGTTAAAGAATTAAACTGTCTCACAGGGATGTTTTCAAAATTCTCCCAGTCAGCATTTCTCCCCTGTTGTTGGAGTTTTGTATTACCTACTCCTGTTTTCTGGAGTGAAATGGAGTCTTTCTTTCTTTCTTTCTTTCTTTCTTTCTTTCTTTCTTTCTTTCTTTCTTTCTTTCTTTCTTTCTTTCTTTCTTTCTTTCTTTCTTTCTTTCCCCAAGTGCTACACCCCCCCCTGTTGATGTAGTTTTCAGTCTATTCAGGATCCCCCCCCCCCAATCTTTCTGCCTCCTCTACTAATATGCACACATGCCTTGATCAAGTGCTACAGAAAAGCACTCTCGGTGTGGTTGGATATATGGTTGTCAAGATTCTTCGTGGTGTGATGTTTCAGCAAAGTGCAGAAGTGTCAGTATACATCATATTAGGATGTTTCAGCAAAGTGCAGAAGTGTCAGTATACATCATATTAGGATTGCTTTTGTGAAACATTTTTTTTCCAATGTGCCATGGGTGTATCAGTACAATAGAGAAGGAAGAATAGGCAAAAGAAGAGAAAGATCAGAGAACTGTTGCAAAGAACAGCTGCTCCAATTCTAGAATTGATGTTAGAAATTCTTGTAGATAAACTGGGATTAAAGAGGACTGGGATGCAGTATGGAATAAACTTCTGGTATATTAAAGGGAAGGAAACTAGGGAAATCTACTCATTCCTTCATAAAATGCATCATAGCATAGAGAGAGAGAAGCAACAAACACACTTTTAGAGCATTCTAAAAATCTGAGCACCCAAGTGGGAGCAGTGGACCCAGACATCCTGGGCAGTCATTTATTATTAATTTATCTTGAACGTTTAAAAACCCTTAGCTCTCAAGGCAACTACCAACAATCCAACAATCCTAATGATAAAAGGAAACATTAACAGACCAAGCATAAAACCACTATAAAAACTAGAGACCGGCATTAAATTGGAGCAGAAGGATCAAGGGGGGGGGGATTAACAAAAGGCCTGTCAAAAGAAAAATACTGTTTCTTCTGGCACATAAAATTCTGTAGAATTGGCAAATAGTGTGAGCTTCCAAGTGATAGAACCCTTGAAAAAACAAGGTGGTATATTGCATCGTCACTTCCAGTAAAAACATGGAAGATGTCACAACCAGCTGCAATGCTCTAGGAATTCCCCAGTTTTCTATGGTAAAGACCATGGGGATTTAGAGAATCCCTAGACTATCGTGGGGGTAGCTGTGACATCGCTTTTCACTGGAATTATTGTTGCAACATACGCAATACTGTTTCCCCATCTCCATTTTCTTCTTGCTGCCAGGAAGAAAGCAGTGAGAGGGCAGCAGCAAAGGTCAGGGAATTCCTGCCGCCATCGGGAAAGGGGCAACTCAGATTGTGGGAGAAAGGTCCAAAATCAAGGAGCCACAACTGAACACGCATTGCCTGCAGAGTAGCCCTCCAATTTTGGTCTTAATCATGCCTCCTGCAATGCTGAAAAAAGACTCTCCCAGAAGGGAGAGTTAATTTTGCAGGGACACACACCCTGTGCATATTCAAGACTTTGTAGCTTTCTTCTGCATGCATCGTTGCACAACTTCTCACTGTTTCCCCCCCTAATTTAGATGGAAGGACAATCCAGCTCTGCCAAGAGGCCTGATCTATGAAGGCATCTGTGAAGAGCCTGTGGCATATTCAGGAGGGAGTGCAGCGCAAAGCACCACGTTGCATGCCTTTGATGAACTCCTTGGAATCCGGCATAGTAGAGAAAGCAGTAAGTAGCTTGCTTTGAATGGCAGGGACACTGGAGAAAGGCTGCAGCCAGGGAATGGAGGGCATTTATTTGGGGTCACTGGAATGAGGGTGGGCATTGGGTGGAAGGGGGAGAGAGAGAAGAAACCTGCAGTCTTCTGCCTGAAATGTTCCTGAGGCTCATCTGGGCCTTTGTACAAACCCTGCTGAATCTTGTCGAATCCCGTTCACTCCTACCTTCTATGTCCTCTGTCAGCTGCGTTTTTGCACAGCATGAGGGAATATATGCCCCCCCACCATCGGGCCTTCATCAAGGAAATCCAGTCTGCTCCTCCACTGAGACGTCACGTGTTAACTTCAGAAAACAAGGAGCTCCGTTCTACGTACAACACGTGCGTGGCTGCCCTTGCGGACTTAAGAACCTACCACATCGCCATGGTCACCAAATACATCACTGTGGCAGCCACGAATGCCAAAGCCAAGCAAGGCCAGGCCACACCTGCTTTCCCAATGAGCCCCCCTTCATTCCTGGAAGGGAAAGGAACAGGCGGTTCAGGGGTTTTGAGTTTCTTAAAAAGTGTTAGGGACACAACAAGGGAAGCATCGATCAGTTTTTAAAAGCTTGCTCTCTGCCCCTTTTCCAGGTAGGGTGGAAGAGCATAATTAAGGGGGCCAAAACAAACAACCTTAGGATATTATGTGGGCCACGTTTGCTAGTGGTAGTGATGGTGGTGGAGAGTGGTTTATAAAATGGCATTATTGTTAAGGTGGGGAGGGAGGACATGATAGATATTTATAACATTATTAGGGTTGCCAACCCCCCCGGTTTGCCAGGGGTCCCCCATTTTTTTTTGGGGGGGGTTCTACCCGCCGCCGGCTAGACGTCTGGCGGGGGAAGCCCCGCCCCCAACACCCACAGCCACCCCTCTCCCTTCTCTCTTGCCTTTAAGTGCGAATGGAACCTGTGTTTCCTCCCAAGTCCAATCTCCGCTTGAGATCGGGCTTGCAGGGAAATGCCAGCTTCGTGCACTCTTAAAGGGGAAACGCCAGTTCCTGCACTTAAAAGGGAAACGCCGGCTCATTTAAGTGCAGGGAACTGGCGTTTCTGGAGACCCAGCGCACGGGCAGGGGGGTGGGTGGCGGACATCCCCAACGTGACGTCATCACGTCGGGGATGCCCCGCCCCCTCCAGGAATGC